TTTCTATCATTGCAGAAGTTCTATCGGATCACATTGGGTTAGGTCAGAGGTTTTCGCTGGGTATCATTGCGCCCATCAATGGACTTTTGGCATTGCCTGAAGACATTTTTGGTTGTCACAACCAGAGGCGACCAGTGTTAGTGGCATCTGATGGGTAGAGGCCAGGCACGCTGGTAAACATCCCACAGTACACAGGACGTCCGTCCCCCCCGCCTGCCCGCCCCAGACACAGCAAAGAATTATCCAGATCCAAGTGTCAATAGGGAGGAGGTTGAGACACCTTGATCTAAAAAATCCATGTTAAGTGGAGAAGGGCATTAATGGGGAGACAAAGGGCAAAATCATCTTTCTTTGTAATCAACAGCAAAGAACAATAATAGAAAAAAAAAAAAAGAGAAAACGAGGTGACCACTGTTGACAAAAGAAGAGAAGAAATTCCTGGACCTATCACCACTTAGTAGCTGTGTGCCCTTGGACAGTCACTAAACCTCTCTGATTCTCAATTTCACCCCCCTTCCCACTGGATTGCCAACGGATTAAGTGAGGCAAGGAGTGTGAATGGGCTGTGTCATCTGTCTGTCTGAAGCAGTGTAGTATAATTTATTACCTTAGCTCCTGTTGTTTAGTGCGCCAGACTAAATACACAGTCTCCGGCAGAAAAGAAAAGTCCCAGTTTAATTTCATTCTGCGTGAGCTTGGGGCACGTAAGTGTCTATATCTCACTTCGTGATCTGTAAAATGGGGCTAACTCCAGCCCAAGCTCCCAGGAATATCCAGCGCCAATGAGACATTTAATCCCAGTGAGCAACCGTCTCGCTCTCTCAACTCAACAGCTAATCCGGTTGCCCTCCGTGAAATCGAAACTCAAACCCCAGCTGGGACCCAAGAAACAGCTGAAAAGGCACTCGGTCTTTGATGGGAGGAGGCAAATTCCCTTGGGACCCAAGAAACAGATAAATTCCTGTTTCTCCGAGCGTGAGGGTTGGCCCGGTGTTTGGTGAACCCACCTTGCGGATTCTCAAGGATCTTTCCTCCGTGGCCAGAAACTGTAGTTCTTAAAGGTCATGAAGCGTTAGGGAGAGGTTCTGTGCGAAGCAGAGCAGGAAAGGAAAGTCACGGAGTTGGGTGAGTCATGCCCGGGGCGGGGGGTGATTCAGATGAAGCTGATGGTGCTTCTGGATCCTTCAGACTGAATGGGGGCGGCGGTGGTGGTGTGTGTGACACACAAAGTCACACATCTGCCTCAACAGTTACGCGATATGCCCTGTGCCTACCCCGCTGTGAGCTCTCATCCCAAAGACCTTGTTTGGTTAATAACGTTCATATTTGTTGCCTCTGTTGACACGAGACCTAAGCTTTAATCCTTTCCTTTGAGGCTTGGAGGAGGAGGAGGAGGATGGACAGGGCTTTGGGGGTGGGGCTAACAGGGAAAATTAGGTTACGATCCCCAAAATGAGGCACCCCAGGCTGCTCCCCAAGTGTCAGCCTTGAGGATAGGGGCTGTTTTTTAATTTCTTTTTTATTTATTTTTGAGAGCGCGACAGAGACCGAATATGAGCGGGGAGGGGCAACAGGCAAAGGTGACACAGAATCCGAAGCAGGCTCCAGCCTCCGAGCTGTCAGCCCAGAGCCTGATGCGGGGCTCGAACCCACAAACCGCCAGATCGTGACCTGAGCCAAAGTTGGACGCTTAACGGACTGAGCCACCCAGGCGCTCCGAGGGCAGGGGCTGTTTTGAGCCCACCACCTGTACCGCAAAACTGTGTGACCTTGAGCAAGTTGCTTCCCTTCTCTATGCTACAGGTGGGCTTAGGTCTGACAGCCCCCGGCGGCCCTCCACTTGTCTCAAACCCACGTTCTCCATTTTTTCAAATAATTCAATTTCACACAGCTTCTCGTGGCGGAAGGGTACCGTGAAATGACACGGAGGAAATTTAAATGCATGCCGTTCAGTGAAAGAAGTGGATCTGAAAAAGCGACATTCTGTACGATTCCAACTACAGGACATTCTGGAAAAAGCAAAACTATGTAGAGAGTAAACGGATCAGTGGTTGCCAGGGTTGGGGAGGAGTGAAGGGTGAACAGGAGGAGCACGGAGGAAGTGAAAATCCCCCGCATGATACCATGTCATTATACTTTTGCTTAAACCCGTAGAAGGTCCAACGGCAAGAATGAGCCCTAATGTGGGCCACCTGACTGGTCCAGTCAGTTAAGCATCTGACTCTTGCTTTCAGCTCAGGACGTGATCTCACGGTTCGTGGGTTCGAGCCCCATACGCGGACAGCGTGGAGCCTGCTTGGGATTCTCTCTCTCTCTCTCTCTCTCTCTCTCTCTCTCTCTCCACCTCCCCTGCTTGCTCACTCTCTCAAAATAAATAAATATTTTTAAAAAAAAATGAGCCCTAATGTAAACTATGGGCTTGAGGTGATAATGACGTGTCCATGTAGGCTCATCATTGTACCAAATGTCCCACGCTGGTGGCGGATGTTAATGATGGGGGAGGCTATGCGTGTGTGGGGACACGGGGTCCATGGGAAATCTCTGTGCCTTCCCCTGAATTCTGCTGCAAACCTAAAACAGCTCTAAAAAATAAAGTTTATGAGTTAAAAAGATTAGCTGAAATTAATATAACACCGTATGTTAACGAACCGGAATTAAAGTAAAAACTTAAAAAAAAAAAAAGAAGGATGTGCCGTATCCCACAGCAGCTTACCACCTGCTTAAAACGGACGGTTGGGACAGTGTTTTTCTCCACCAGGTCAGTAAACCAGGACCCGCTGAAGGGCTGGCTCATCACGGCCCAGGAGAAACACAGCTAGAGTTCCGGGCCTTCTGTTCTCTTCTCGAAATGCCACCAGAAGGGCTTGATCTTTCCCCCGGCGGACACCGGCCTTGGGATATTTTGCAATAATCAGGCCCGAATAGAGGTCCGTGTGTGTGTGTGTGTGTGTGTGTGTGTGTGTGTTTCTTGTTTGTGTGACTGTATGTCGACTTCTGACACTGGTCGGGGTTGGGGGTGGGGGGTCCCGGGCAGCCCCTCTCTGTGGTTTCATTAGCTCATGCCACAGGAAAGGCAGCTCTCCAACTCACGGGCACCGAGCCACCTGTGAGGTTTGAAATCTGCGGATTCCTGGGCTCCTTCCCCCAAGATGGTTGGTTGGGCGGGTCTCACACAGCGCCTCGGGAATCTGCATTTTGAAAGGCCCCCAGGTGAGGCTGAGGAAGAGAGAGAGACTTGGAGAAATCCTGCCCCCATGTCATGTCGGGTCCTGGAAGAAAGCTCCGGGATAGTCCCACCCAACCCCCCTCAGGTCTGGAAGAGGAAACTGAAGCTTAACTGGGGAGGGACTCGTCCGAGGTCACAGAGTCGGCAGAGCCCAAGCTAGGCGACTCAAGGTGACCAGGCCTGCGTGCAGGTGGCACCGGGTATTTACTAAATGGTGACAGGGCGCTCCCTCATAGGTCAGGGGGCTGAGAGACCCTGTTCGTCCTCTTCCTCGCTCTCTCCCCAGCCCGCCTTCTCCTTCTGTTATTTTCTAGAGCTCACTCATAGCCTCAGCGACACAGGCCCTCCCCGAGCCCCGCGGACATATTGCTCTGCGAACACAGCTAGGATCAGAAGCAAAAACAACACCCAAGGAAGCCACCACCATGCTGGACGCTAGACGCTCCAGAGGGACCCTCAGCCGCCGCGAGCCGGTGCACTGAACAGGGCGGGCATCTTCCTGGCCCGGCCACAAAGAGAAAGTCACAGCCCAGTTTTCCGGGCCCCGTGGGACGGAAGCCCAGGCCCCGGCCGGGTCAAGGCCAGACTGGGCGGCTTGGAACCAGCTGGGCTTTTTCCTCCCAGCCGCCTCTACAAGAAAGCAGCACAGAGGCCATGTCCCTGCCGTCCGCAGCAGCTGCTGACGTCTTCCGGACCCCCAGGGAGGGAGGTCTTGTTAGCCTAAGGCCCCCTCTCTGTCCCCCCCACCCCCCTCGCCCCTGCCACTGAGGTCTGTGCAACTTCTCCATTCAAACAGATGCCTCATACAAGGCGTCCCCGATAAAGCGCCTCCTGGGACAGAGGGTCAAGTCAGCGCCGCATGAAATTCAAGCTTTTGTCCGGGAACCACCATTCCCCTCCCCCACCACGCACATGCTTATTTAAAATCAAAAGCCACTACGATTAAGGCTTGTCCTCCACAGCGTTGGGGACGGGAAGAGTCACTCCTTGACCGTTAAGTGACGACCCCTTACGCGAAATCAGTGGTAGCGGAGGAGAAATAGGAACCCAGCAGACATGCGTCGGCTAAGATTCCAAAGTGGAGGGTATCCTATGACTCTGAACACATTTTTAAAAATGGCTAGCCGACGGATGGGTCCCGACAGACAAGGAGGAATCCCTGAAAGAGTCCGCTCGCCCTGGCATTTTCTAAAATGACTTTCACGAAATGTTCTTGCTTTCCAAGCGGGCGATTCGGGCTGTCGGACGCGACCTGGCCGGAGAGGCCCTCAGTAGACCCACCGCGGGGCCAGACACCCACCGCCCCAGCCCCCAAAGGCACATTCTGGAAAAGTATGCCCATCAGCTTGCACGCAAGCCGCCCATCGTAACACCCGGCCCCACAGTACCTTTTCTGCACGAGGCCACAGGTCACAGGCACCACACCGGCCCGAGAGGTCTCCCCAGCTGGCAGTGCAGAGACCCCAACAAGCCCGGACAGCAGGGGCGAAGGAGAATTGCTAGGAACACCCCCACCCGCACCCTCACACACATCCCCTTCCCTGACTGCTCCTCCCCGTCCTCCCCACACCCTCCCTCTGCGCCAATGTGATGGCAGCAGCTGAGCAGACAAGTCATTTCTAAAATTAGCCGGTGAGCCCCAGGTCTGGCCGGGAGACGGCAGCCCGGGGTGGCCGTTGACCAGGCATCGGACAGCATGGACATATTTGGTGGCGCGGAGCAGGGGAGGGGACAGCTCCCCACGCAAGCACATTCTCAGCCGTCATCCCTGTCCCCGGGCAGGCCGCACACTCCGGCCTCGGCCCCACACAGATAACCACCGGAGGCCACGGGATTGGATGAGGAGGAGAGCCGGGCCCCGCACGCCAGCGGGACTCTGGAAAAAAATAACCGGAGCGAGTTCTGCCGCCTCGTGGTGAAGAATCGATGCAGGAAAACACGCGTCACGCTCCAGATGGCATCCCGGGGGCTTTCCTGAGCTCATTTACTATTCCCGACAACCCCGCACCAGGTAGGGTTTTCCCCACTCTCGTCTGACGGAGGGGGAAACTGAGGCACAGAAAGGTCGACCAACTGGCCCAAAGCAGTGGAAAGCCGGGATTGGAACCCAGGCGGTGCTGGCCCCAGAGGGCCCAGTCTTAAATGCTGCATCCAACAGGATGCTATAAAAAGTGCTTTGTCCGGGGCACCTGGGTGGCTGACGGTTAAGCCTCCGACTTCGGGCTCAGGTCATGATTTCACGGTTCGTGAGTTTGATCCCCGTATCTGGCTCTGGGCTGACAGCTCAGAGCCTGGAGCCTGCTTTGGATTCTGTGTCTCCCTCTCTCTCTCTGCCCCTTCCCTGGTCACGCTCTGTCTGTCTCTCTCTCTCTCTCAAAAATAAATAAATCTTTAAAAAAATTTTTTTAAAAAGTGCTTTGTCCGCTGCCCAGAAGGCGCAAAATAAGAACGCCGGTAGATTAAGTACATCACGCAAGATTGCGCAGCTCGCAAGGGACTCAAATCTAGGTCTTCCTGATTCCGAAGCCCACGGTCATTCCATTCAAACATGACATGCTGCTTCTCTTAAGAAACACTTCAGGGGCGCTTGGGTGGCACAGTCGGTTAAGCGTCCGACTTCAGCCAGGTCACGATCTCGCGGTCTGTGAGTTCGAGCCCCGCGTCAGTCTCTGGGCTGATGGCTCGGAGCCTGGAGCCTGTTTCCGATTCTGTGTCTCCCTCTCTCTCTGCCCCTCCCCCGTTCATGCTCTGTCTCTCTCTGTCCCAAAAATAAATAAACGTTGAAAAAAAAATTTTTTTAAAAAAAGAAACACTTCAGCCGGGGCGCCTGGGAGGCTCAGTTAGGTTAAGCGTCTGACTCCTAAAAGCGTGATGCTCAGGTCATGATTTCACACTCCGTGAGTTTGAGCCCCAAGTCTGGCTCTGCACTGACAGTGGGGAAGCTGCTTGGAATCCTCTCTCTCCCTATTTCTCTACCCCTGCCCCCCACACTCTCTTTCTCTCAAAAATAAATGAGTGAATTAAAAAAAAAAAAAAGAAAGAAACACTTCAACCAGTAGTAGGTGTTACTTTTCTACCCCTGTGGCTCATAGAGCAATCTATTCTCAGAGTATTTACTTCCTTCTCGGTGCTGACATTTAGTAAAATGTTTACTGGCCCACCGGGGTGGCTCAGTCGAGTCCTGCTTCGGATTCTGTGTCTCCCTCTCTCTCTGCCCCTTCCCCGCTCGTGCTCTCTCTCTCTCAACAATAAATAAACATTAAAACATTTATTTATTCATTTTTTTAAATGTTTACTCATTTTTGAAAGACAGAGGGAGACAGAGCACAAGCAGGGGTGGGGTGGACAGACAGGGGGACACCGAATCCAAAGCAGGCTCCAGGCTCTGAGCTGTCAGCGCAGAGCCCTACGCGGGGCTCGAACTCACAGACCGCGAGATCGTGACCTCAGCTGAAGCCGGACGCTTAACTGACCGAGTCCCCCAGGCGCCCCTGAACATTAAAATAAAATGAAATAATAAAATACAATAAAATGTTGATTTATTGTGCGGAGAGAGAGGGGGACAGAGATTCCAACGTGGGCTCTGAGCTGACAGCAGAGAGCCGGATGTGGGGCTTGAACTCACGAACCACGAGATCAAGACCTGAGCCAAAGTCCGAGGCCTAACCAACTGAGCCACCCGGGTGCCCTGAGAATTAGCGTTTTATTGGAAGTTCACGGAAACGCTTTTCTCTTGACGTTGAAACTTGACCCGTCCCCCACCCCCGCGCTCCCGCCAGCTCCTGAAGCATCTTGGTGCTCTCCTGTCCCGTTGATCTTTTCTATCTTCTCGTGGCCGTCGGTCTTCCACGGTGGGGTGGACACGCAGAAATAGCTCTCTAAGGCTGGGCCGGGGGTCTCCGTCAGCCTCAACCTGCAGTGATGGTTAGGTTGACCTGAAGGCAACTGAGTCCCGAGGGCACCTGGCACGTCAGCATTATCCCCCTGGTACCTAACTGTGTTGCTGGAAGATCCATCAGGACAACTAAGTATTGCCTTGACCGCGCCGTAATGTAGGGCAGCCCCCGTCAGCACTAGTTTGTCACCCGGCTGAGCATTTGTCTCCGGTCTCCAGGCTTCCATCCCAAGGGGGGGCAGGACAGCACGAGAACGTGAAGGCACTGTCACCAAGGGCCCCGGAAACTTGGCCCCTTCTGGTATTTCTGGAGCACAGACCGTCCCGAGTGGCTGTAGGTCCTTTGCAGCACAGACCACAGACCAGGGAGCCGTGAGTGTGCACCCGTGCCCTGGGGGTGCCAGGTTATCCCCCCGGAGACCTGGCCCTGTCTTCAGTTGGTCAGTTCTGGGTCCACAGAATGGCCTAGGGATGGATTGTGCCATTTTACTGGGGCAACTGACTTCAGCCTCCCGATCCTCCTTCTTTTTTGAGCAGGACCCTTGTGGGGGGCCCATCTCTTTTGCCTCTGGGGATGCCACATTCTATTTATCGTCTCCCTACGGCCTGTGACTCGGGGGCCCCCAGTGCGCCCCATCTCACCGCACGCTAGGGTGATTGCTTCCACCTGGCTTGTGACGGCTGAGTGCTATCCCCCAGCCTGTGTCGTGTGGGGCTCCCATCATCCTCAGTGTTCTTAGAGAACTGTGTGTGTGTGTGTGTGTGTGTGTGTGTGTGCTGGTAACTGGAGAACAGTCCCGTGCATCTGAGCGTCATGGTCCCCACAGGGATGCAGGGACCATGGTCTGCGTCTGTGTCTGTAAGTGGCTGGTACACAGCAAGTGCTCCATAAGTGCCTATGGAATAAATCGCCAAACGTACGGAAACTGGACCGGAGCAGGCGTCCCGGGATCTGGTCCCGCATCGTGCATTCTCTGCATGCCCGTCTGTCCGTCTGTCCATCTCCCACTAGTCTGTAGTCCCTCGTTCATCCTGGCCACCCAGCACCAGGCCAGGCACTAAGCAGGTGCTCATGGAATCTTTGGTGGCTGAAGTAAAACCGGTGAACAGAAGACTATATAGCCCGGAGTGTGGAGGGGAGAGAGAGATCCCTGTAGAAGGACCCCCGAAGCCCACGCCCTGGCCAGGGTCTGGAGGTGGTATGTCTGCCCAGAGCTCTGGGTGTCAGGGAAGGGCACAGGCTTTGGAGCTGGGCCCAATCCTGATCTCAAAGAGGTGTGTTCATCTCACTGGGCCTCAGGATTCCCTTCTACAACATCGGGATCCTTGGGCCACTGACCGTTCTAGTCCTTATGGCCCATGGTAGGTGCTCAGGGAATGTTTGTTGAGTGACCGAATGACCGCATGTAGATCTGTAAAGGCTCCTCCTGACTCTGCACTGCCTGCAGAAGCAAGCCAGCACCCACTTCTTAGTGGTTCTGGTGGCCTCCGGGCCGCCCCCGGTGGGTTTTCCGGCCTTACTTGGCACGTCCCTTCAAGCGTGTCCACCCACTTCTCTGTATTCCTAATCCCTTCCTCCTTCATCAAGCACTTCCCCAGGGGCATCACCCTAGCCAAAGGCCTAGTGGCGAGGAGGTAAGGGAGGGGGAGATCCTGGGGGTGGGGGTGCTATTTCTCCATAGGAAGGAGTAGAACACGTCTGCAGCCTTGGAGAGGTCAGAGGAAGCTGGAGGTCCAAGAGTTCCAAGGGCGTCAGCTCGGATGTCTCCATCCCGTGTGACAAGGTCTCATTCTTCCCCAAGCCGAGCGTGCCTTGGCCAAGCGGACAGACCTGCCTTGGGAGTTTAACCACCTTTGGAACTCATCTGATCTCATTCCTGAGTCCCAGGTCTGGTCCTCATTTTCTTTCCCGCCCACCGTGGATGTGGCCCTCTCAGCGGTTCCTCCCGGCAGCTGGTTCCTCTCAGCTGTTTCTTATCTTTCCCTAAAGCATCCATTAAGCTTAGCGATAGCCGCCCGTCGCATCGTCCCCCTGTCCGGCAGTTACTGTCCCTCCCACTTTTCGCAAACTCTTTGTTGCCCTAAATAAAGAGGTCGACGGAAGCAAGCTCGAAACTGGCAAGTTCATTTAGGGGTTGCGGACGGATTGCAGTTCTGGACAAGCAAAAACAGTAGCGAGCTGCAGGCGAGCCGGCTGGGGGTCTGGGATAAGTTACGTATTTTAAATGTTTATTTATTTTGAGAGGGAGAGCGCAAGCAGGGAAGAGGGAGTGAGAGAGGGAGAGAGAGAGAATCCCAAGCAGGCTCTGCGTGGTCCGCGTATTAGAACAAGGCGTAAGAGACCTAGGATATCTTTGTGCAATACGGGTGGAATGGGGTTTTGTCCCAGTCGGATGCGCTTCCGGAGGGGTTATTAGATCCTGTCTCCCGTGAGAACAAAAGACGAACTGCTGTTAGCGCTGAGATGATAAAGGGGGGGGAAAAACACAGACGCTCCACTGGCATGTGTATATCGAATAATGCAGCCACAGTTAACGTCGTGGCAAAGGTGGGTTACGGGTGAGAAGGCAGGTGCTGTGCATGTGTCAGCGTCTAGCGAGGAACAGGCCTGTTAGGATTTGTAGACTCAGGCAGCCTCCTAACGAGTAGCCAAAGTTTCGTCATGCTGAGATGTTGGGCGGAGTGGGGAGGTCGATAACGGATTCATTAATCATTTTAAGGAGTGGGTGAGACTTTCGGAGGCGGGTCATTAAATTCTTATAGTTGAAAGATGACGTTTTTTTTCATATCATTGGTCACGGTTAGATTCCCTGTAGGAGTGATGATAACATGCACTGTATTAAGTTTAGGTTGCCTATTTGTGATCAGCTTTTGTAAGTGTTTCGTCAAAGCCTTCTCCAGTTTATGGTGGGCTTGGGTTAGGCATGGGTTAAGCGTCAAGCCCGGCGTGGGGCTTGAACTCACCAACTGTGAGATCCGGACCTGAGCTGAAAGCAAGACTCAAGACGCTTAACCCACTGAGCCACCCAGGTGGCCCTGGGATGATAGGTTGTATTTGTGGGCAGGGAATGAACGTAACAAGGGGGCAGTTCAGTAAAAATGCTCCCCACCCCCCA